GGGGTGACAGATTCCTATTAGCACTAATGCTGAAAGAGCCCAGTGGCCTTTCCGCCACAAGGCAGCATTCCCATTGTAACTTCGACTCCAGCACATCCCGCCTTGGCTAGCTTTTTAACATGCATTAAGTGTCACAAAGGAATAGAAATTATTTTGTTGTTGTTTGAGAATAACGAGAAAAAAAAATTAAAAGAAAGAATAATCTTTCAAGTTAGACTGAGGGTGTACTTCTAGCAATTTCAGGGGCCTTTTCAATCAGCAGCTCCCTACTAGCAAGCATTAATTGTGTAAAAGATGAGGTAACCAGGATACCTTTACACACAAGGACTGCCCTACCTGGGCATCTCTCCATCAGAAGACAAATTTGAATTGCAGCATCTTCCCAAAGAAATAGAGGAATCCAAATGATCCTCTCTTTCTCCCCATCAAGCAATTTCCCTCACCAGTCAAAAAGAGGGCTTCAATTTTGCATGGCAAAAACACTTTTGCAGAGGAGAAATATGCGTGGACAGGAGTCCTAAGCACCAAGAAAAGGCTGCCAGTGGAAAGCAAAATACTAACAGTAGCTAGTTCTTGTTTTCCCTTTGCTCTRCTTTCTTCAGCTGCCTTCTGCTTCTCACAATCTTCTTGAGTATTGGCTTTAAACTCTTAAGATCAGATTGTGCCTATTTTAACTTTGAAATAGCACCCAGAGCATGTTTTAGGTGCTACATGTAATTTTAGAAAATTATCTCAAATCTGTAGAAGTGAATTGAGGTAATATTCTGTGCCAAAACCATAAGGGGGAGAATTCTTGAAAATGCTACAGGGCTTGTCTGAATGGGGTAACAGACAGGGATTTTTTCCCCCGGACTTCCATCTGGAAGCTTGCAGAAAGACAGCAGAGTCCAATGTGAGGTTTGCAGGAGGTACACTGTGGCAGCCTCACTGCTGCCAGCTTTTCCCCACAAGGCACCTTCGCCCACAGATGAACCACAGCAGCAAAAGGCACTTCATTATTGTGGCACTGAAGAGAAGGGAGGGAGGGTTTTAAACAACCTGCATTGTGCCCGTCTTCTTTAAAAACCAGCGGGGTAATCAAGTTCAGGGCAGCCCTGGACAGCTGCCCTGTGACCTATTCATGTTGACCTCCACTATTCATCACTTTCCTTAGCACTATGAGTGCAAGCTCCCGGGGAGTGACCACCACAATAGACAGATACGAGCCAACAATAATACGGTTCCTGCAAAAAAAACAGATGGCACTGCAATAAATTTACAAATCTGCATTCATGGCTCTGTTAAAAACACCCAGAAGCTAAAAGGCTGGAGGGGCCCCCAGAGAGCTTCCCCTTCCCAGTTTCTAAAGGCCAGCTCTCTCCCCAAGACTATTGAGCTCATGTTCTTCATAAATGAAGGATGGAGACGTAGCCCTTAAAATAACAAATGGCTGACCTAATCAATCTAGTGTTTGGGTCTAACACTAAATGATAGGCACTGAGAACTAATTATGTTTTTTGGCAAGGAAGTTGAATTAAAATGGAAACACACAGGTTAAAAACGCACTGAAGCATTTGCGAGTCCCTTTGAAAGGGCAGCATACACACACACACACGCTCACATGCAGGGCTTGAAACAGGAACCTGATTCAATAACTCATGCATTTATTTTTAAAATGAATCAGATTAGTCCCATGTGTGACCTGCCGGTCCATCTGTATGAGCTGGACTTAATGGGCACTCTTCTCACGCTTACTTCAGTTTGAAGTATGAGAGAGATAAATTTAGTTTAATTTTCAACAGATCAAGCTATCCATTTTCCAAATGGACCATCTGGATCAGCCTATTAAAATTAATTTATAACTTTGCAGTGTGAAAATTCGTTTGTTAGCTTAAATAAAGTTGCCAAAAACTTTTGCCACTTATCATTGTTTTTTCTGGTCTGTTTTCATACTATGATTTTCACTTTATCCCTTCAAAATTTAATTTTGTCAGATCAAGCACTCAACAAAAACTGAACGTCTGCATCCATATTGCAAAGTCTGTCACAGATTAGATCTTTTCACTGTTCCAGCTAATAGTAGCAAATTCATAGCCTTTTTCTGCTTCCCGGTACTAATCTCCACATCTCTTCTACCTTGCTGCCCCAACATGCACCCAACAGTGGCTGTGCCKTCCACTTCCAGCAATTCAAGGACAAGCCCCACTTGTTGAGACTTCTGAAGACACCCCTCTCCATAAACCATTTTAATCAACAGCAAAATGACATTTCTCCTTTTAAGAGTTCCACAGCACTGAGCAATGGGTATCTTCAGCCCCTGCATGCAACTTCAGATGCTTAAGTAAGYATTACACTTCCTCAATACCTCCACCTTCTGGTATGCCTGTTCCACAAACCCACCTGAGAAAACATTTATGGCTAAGGCTGCATAACAGCACTGCAAACAAGGCAAAAAAAGAAAATGCACCTTTACTTTAACTTGTTAGCAGCTGAACATGTCAAGACATCATACTTCCCCTGAAGTGGTCTGATGCATCTCATTAATTTTCCAAGACTAATCAAAAAGYACTAAATATGTGAATACTTTCACTGGAAAGACAAATAAACAGACTTCTGACCACATACACTCAATCTCTCTGTGCATGTRGGTCCATGTTCCCCAATGATGGAGTATTAGATAAACAGAAAATACTAAACTGTTCACACAATATTTACCAAGTTAGTATCTTTCCACTAAAATGGAAAGCATTTTTTTTTGTGTATTACTGCTTTGACAGCATTTGCAGGTCACATACTTTTTGTTCTATAAGTATGGATAGATGTTAGACATGGCAGCCACTCTGCATACCTTCCTACAGGAGATACAGATCTTTCCAGGAAGTATAATCATTGATTGTGAGTATTTAGGCACATGGCTAAATCTGTGTCAGACTTCAGAAACGAGAGCTGGAAAACTCCCCACTGCTCCTGTCCACTGCTAATAGAGAAGAGGAGCAATCTGAGCTTTCAATATGCTCAGGCAGCTTTATTTATGTCTATGTAAGGAACCGAAATTTCTTCCATAATAGACAAAAAATCATGGACAACCACCTCSTATGATCTAGCACTTGCTTTAAGACTGAGACTACATCTTGAATGTATCTACAAAGACCGCTCTCAACACAAAAGGCCCCAGACAGCAATCMGATAACCCAAGCATCTATCACTGTAGAGAATGGACACAAAGATGGAGATTGATATCAATCTCAACAATATTATGCAACACAGCTAACCATCTTTAATGTAAACAATGTCCATTGAATTATTTCCAATACTTGGGACACTTAAAGTGTTTTTTTAGTTGTATTCCTGGTATCTACTCGATTACGATGAATTGTGGGCCTGTGGGAAAAGACAGCTTTCCCTGAACATTAAGAATACTTCTGCAGATTGTAATATAACAGAAGGGAAACRCAACCTTGTCATCTGTAAGAGAAGAGACAGAAACTATACCTTCCTCATCTATATAATACAGCTTGTAAATATCTGTTTCCTCAGTCAATAACCATGAGGAAGGACTCAGCAAGTAAATCATGATCCTTTTTAATTAACATCACTTACTATGAATCTTGTCTTGGAGAAGAGACATATACCTCTTCTTGCTGAACCTAAAGGCTTGCCATCAATGATATAACTCTTAAAATTAAAAACCCCTGATTTTCTGGCATGGTGGGGACCTTGTTTCCTATCCTGGGGATTCACAGTAGGAGCCTAGTAGCCTGGCCCTCTTCATCCAGCTCGTTTGTTGTTGAATACCAGAAACAGTTTAAATTTCATCTAACASATGTAATCAATTCTGCAAGGTAATCTTTCTCAGCTATAAATGGGACCTCAGCCATTAYGCCAGCATATTGCCTCATGTCTAAAAGACGTACATGGACATCTGTTAGATGGACCTGTCTTAGCCACATGCATGTAGTCCTTCACATGACACCTCTTCCCACTAAATCAAACACTCCTAATACAATGCATTATTAAAACACACAAAAAAAAAAAAACCCCAAACAAACCATGCAAACCAACAACTCTGAGCACAAGTGGACTGTATCAAAAAGATACTTCTCCCTTTACTATGGTTCTGACCCACAACTTCTCCTGGAAGGAGCAGATGTGGGGCAGGGTTGTGCCATCCTATTCATCTGCCTGATGCAGAAGGAACTGTAACAATTCCTCAGCAGTTGCAATGTGTGGCCTGGGGTATTCAACTTAAGTCACATTCACCAATGGTTTCATTCTGATACACCAGACAGCAACCTCAGGCAGCTAAGGCATGGACATAATTTTGCTTTTGCTGCCTGAAGGTTGCAGTGGGGACAAAAATCAAGGTGCAAATGGACTGGAAATCACTAAACCCAACTTAAATTTCCCAGAAAGCACATGCCAGATTCCCTTTGTTGGCCAAGGGGATTAAAAAAAGGAATTATTTTCAATTGGTAAGAAATKTGCTTTTCTATTTATAAAGGACAAAGAAATAATGTTTTATTAGACCATCCTTTCTCCTTTTTACCCATTAGTAATTTATATGAATGTAAAAGAAACAAGAATAGGTCATTTTTCAGGTTATTAACCTGGGTATCACCTCCAAGAAAATTTATCTCCAAGGGCAATAAAAAGCTTAATTGTTGTAGAACATTTTGAGAGTCTTGATCTGAAGCAAGGCAAAACGTACTACAAACAAGACAGGAACAATTACAAAAGAAAAGGCTGAAGAGAGCTTGATGAACACCAAATGGAGAAAGGTAAAACTAGAGTCACAGCTGACCGAACTATACTGAAGCACATATTTCTTCAGAGTCATCAAACTCCCATGAAAGCTAAATCTCTGTGTCTGATTTTCCTGGGTACAATGTGATTTGCTCAGATTTCAAAGAAGAAAAGGAAAGATTTCCATGAGCACAAGCCAGACTTCAGCTTCCAAAAGCATTTAAGGATTCAAATAGCTAGAAAGTTTTATTGCATTTTTAAAGAKACTGATCACATACCTGTCTAAGTGAATTCTTCTCAGGAATGATCTTCCTAGGGGGCTCATCATTATTACAGTCTTCTCTCTCAGAGGAATTCTGTGAAAGAAAGTAAGCTTTAATTCAGTTCTTATCCCTAATATTACTCTGAGGAGAAAAGAAACAGTATGTTTCCTGCACAGGCTGTAGTATTTCACACATGCACATACTGGAGGCTAACTTAGACTTTTATGCCAAACAGCTTGTTATGGCAGAGAAAGAATTTCTCCTCCTCAACACAACAATGCACCACTGTGCAGGTATCTACAGAAGAAGCCCACGCTTCAGGGATTTATTCTGAAACTACCAATAACAGTCACTTTGAAAAGCTGAAATGGTGGTTGAAACAGCATGGCAACACTGGAGCTCCCGAACAATCCAAAATAACCATTTAAAACATTTAAACATTTAAAACAGTGGAACCTGTTGAAAACAAGAGGTTGTCAATGGGTGCTACTGTTGTTCTCTGCATCCCTATGTTTTTAATCTGCCTAAGAATTATTAATTGCACCAAGTCTGCTTGGCTGCCTAAAATCATAGAGAAATTATGATGGATTCTTGTATAAGAGGTGGTCAGGACATCCTTCTAAAAGAACCCCAAACATTGTGTAGGTAATGTATAATAATACAGCTATGTTTTTCTTTCCTCCCCCCAACTCCATATAGATTTGCAATTTGTAGAAAGACTGATGCTCCAAAATGTAAGCTGCCACCTCAAAAAAAAAAGATCAAAAAGACAAAGAAAGTGGATGACAAATACATGGGCTTTTCCAGCATGAGTAAAAAATATAACCAGGAAACTTACRTCCTGCTAATGTCATAATTAAATCTAATTATTACTCGGTTTGAAGACAARCTATAGTCGTGTCAGGACATGAACAGTCTCTTGCAAATGGTTAAAAAGTACTGGATACAACAGGGAGAATCCTGACCTCACTGCCAAAGTCAGCTACGCTGGAAGACAGCGTTCCTTCGCACAGGTTCACTTACTGCATTGGAGGAGAAATGGCATCCAGCTTTGGGGGAATCCCACACACACATCTAAAATCAGTTTGATYACCACAGTATTCATAGCCTTAGGCCACATTCCCACACATTCAGTAGTGAGCAACTAAACAGGTTTTAAAGAGATGCAGAAAAACTGCCTAGGGAGAGCTCTGCCAGAAAAGGGTGGTTTTCCAGTTACTTGCAGACAAGCTCAGGACTGTGTCTATTACAGCGGAAGTTTGCATTCCGTACCTGTCCCCCAAATAACCTGTCCTTTGCTGAGCATGGCTCTGCCTGGTTTCTCACAGAGACAGCTCCCAGSCCAACACCTCAGGAGCCAGAAGTGGCATCTGTTGGCAGAGGAGGAGCGGGGCCCTGCGAGCAGTGGCAGCACAGGGCCAGCAGCAGGCACGGCGGCTGCGGGAAGCTGTCAGCAGAGCCGTGCCCACTGCAATGCTGCGTGATCCGGCAGCGCCAGGACAGCGCGGACTCGCTGCTCTGGGCAATGGGGAGGAAAGGCACAGCCAGGAGACAGCACAGGGGCAGAAGCTGTTTGCTGAAAAATGGCAGAGAAGGGCTGGAGGGAGAGGAACACAACAGTAAAACCCCATTTGGGATGTCATAAACCGGTCACAAGTAAATCAACGCTTGCAGATCAACTAGTGATTTTGAATTTTTTTTTTACATAAGATATAGAACTTGTAAGGCACCATGGCATCTGGGATGCTGTAACCAGGGTGTTATAATGGAAATCAATCCTAAACAGGAATGATAAATTGCTGTAGGAGGTCAGCTTTTAAAAGTTTTTGTATGAAATCTCAGTCAGGACCAAATTATTACATTAAATCCCACTTTAAAATAACTGTGAKCATAAAGACATACAACCTGGGATTGCATATATACAAAAAGGAAGGCCAGACATTAAAGCTGTTCTTTTCTGCTCATGAAATTTAGTTTAGTAAGTGGTTCATTCAAGTTAATATTTTAATACTTGTGCTTTGGGAAAAAAATAAAAGGCCAAGACTGAAAACCGTAAGAACCTGTGCTGAGTTACTACAGATTTCCAAGAAATGCATTTTGTTGTGGCAGCAGGGTGAAGGAGGTATTTACTACCTCTGGATGCATTTTCAACAGCCACCCCCTTCCCTACAATAAATGTTGGAATGATTTCCCTTTCCAAATAATCTCTCTACAGTAGTGAAATCTTGCATTCTTCTTACCCTTCCAAGCCACTAAGGATCCTCCCTCACAAAAACATCAAAAAGCAGGAACTGCTGGTGAACTGTCAGCCCTTATTTTGAAATTTCTAGTTACTGCAAAGCATCAAGTTATCTACTTTTTCTTTAAGCCGAGCATCTAATTTTAAGAGCAAGCAGAGAACCATTTTGCATTCATTATCTTTATAGGTGGCAAGGCTAAGAGGTTGGCTGAACAAAGACCAGACAAAGACTGCCAAGTGCATATGGTGGTTCACAGCTTGGCGTCTCACCATTCTACAGCACCAACACAGCAGCTCCGATAGCAGACTATTAAAGAGGAGCGCTGCTCGTGCACTTTTGTCGGCAGCAAGTTACGCTTGGTGAAGACAGAATGACTGGAAAGCATTACACTTAAGAAAAAGCACAGATGTTTATAACTCCCGCTCATTTCTCAGGAAAAGGAAACCTATCAATCCAGGTGTAGGTACAGGACCCCGSATATTTCAGGACTAACTGTGGCTGCATGGAAGTGAATTTCACTTGACAGGGCAACACTTAGCCATGGCCAAGGGAAGAGCATAATGTAATCGACTGAAACGGTACATCTATATATTTCTCCCTGCTGAACAAGGTGGGAGGAGGGATAAACATGTGCGAGGTCAGAATAAGGTTTGTCTCAGCAGGACTCCAGCGATGCTCTCGGCCACAGGAGAGGCAGACAAAGGGAGGAACTGCTCTGAGCACCCTCTCGTGGTTACTGAAATGCACGTCCCGTGCACAGACCTGGAAAGAAGCATTTGGTATCCAGACGGTAAGTTGGGCGTACTCACTGGGAATATTAAAGATCTGCTGTARCTGTACTTCATACATGGTGGGGGAACGATGGAATTTGTTAGGGTGAAAGAAGCAAAGAAAACTAGTGCATACAAAAAGCAGAAAAGCCAAACAAATTCCCTTCCATCAGGGAAAATTTTTACTTCCTGCAGGCAGCCTTCCTCTGTAGACTAAAGCCAGTCTGGCCAAAAGTGTTTGTGCCTGCACGCAACGATCTCTCCTTTTGAAAAAATACAGGGAAAATTAGATGCTGAAATCTCCAAAGCACCCCCTCTTTCCACAGAGAGGTAAAACATCTCTTTTTTTGCCCAAGGTCACACAATGACAGTGGCAGTACGGAGAAGAGAAATCRGGAAACTCCAGYTCATAGTCCTTRTAACCTTGAAAATTTCTCTCTAACAGGAGATTCCTGCAAAGGGGCTCTGCCTTCCATAGCTCATTTTTCCTAAAATGGCTACTGCCTGTATGAGATCCTTTTAAACCTGATTTGCATTTAAAACTTCAGCCTGTAATTAACAGAATATAACTCCATGGCAGGTTGTCTTAAAGACCACTACGAAATTATTAGTATTTAACTCTCCCCATGAAGTCTCCTCCACCACTAAACACAACATGCTACAATGCATATGAAATCCCCAGACTGAAGTATTTGACAGGAGGTGACATGCAGTATTTTGTGTACAAGCCCAGCAAAACACTGCTGGGAATGAGATATAATACATGGAGAAATGCACTCCCAGGGACTACCAATTGGGCAGAGCTACCTTTAGTACTGCCTTGCTCGTCATGGTGGAAATCAAACCTTTGCCAACTGGGGGAGGCTTTCTTTGATGCTGTTCTGCCCTGCACTAATTATAAAAGAGTACAGACACTGCCTTTTTTCAAAGTGTGTRAAGGTGGGGGTGGGGGAGAAGCGTGTGTCTATGTGAAGAGCACAACTATTTTTTATGCTTTCAAATTCTTAATCCTGTTTGGAGCTGTCAGTGGGGGTTAATGGAAGCCTTGGATAGGAGAATTCCAATCTGGTTGGCAGATGGATAGGTTGGTTATAGCTGCATAACTATGTCTTGCCTGCAGGCACAATTCAGAACACTGTTAAAGCAATATAAAGTCTCTGTCAAGCTGAACCATTTGGATCAGTAGCAAGGAGAAATAATAATAAAAAAGGAGTTCATTTCTGGGCCTTGTGCGTTTATGCTAGTATGCAGAAACTGATTAATTGTCATCGTGTGCTGGTCTGCTATACCTCGGATTTCTACTTCTGGAGTAGATTTTGCATGCTAATATAATCATTCTCCCTCTTGAGACATTAGCAAATAATCAAATGAAAAACAGGATCATAATTTACTGAGATTCGGGCAATTCTCTATGCAAATTTGACTTGTTATTGCTGCTGCCTCGTTAATCTGAATGCCTTTGACAAACTCCTTTGATTTATGAACTCATGACAACTCCAATGTGTATATATTTTGCTAGATTGACATTATCATTAAGAGTGGGTGGACTGAGCTCACATGAATGGCTGATTTTATTCGCTGGTGTCTGCTGCTCAACAGCTGAGCATCTCCTTCTCACAAAGCCCCTAAGCACCAGGCTCTTCCCATCTACCCATCCATTCATCATCTCGATGTTAATTGGCCCAGGCTTTAAGCAAATTTTCAACACGATTTAAAGGCACGATGACACTGATTACTGACCCTCTGCCATACGGTGCCTATTGATTAACCTGACAGAGATGATGAGCTTGAGGGAAACTAGGTGTGTGCGGACCTCGGGGAGGGGAAAAAAAAATAATATATTGTTTATGCAGGCAAAACACTTGTCTTTATCCCAAAGGCCAGAATTTGTGCTGCACTGGCCCTTAAAACACGCTATGGCTTTAAACACCTGCATCCAATACAGAAAATGCTTGCTTGCTTGCTGTGGAAAAATGATTACAAATTTGATGTCATGTGCAGTCTGTATTTTAATCGAGTTCCCTGATAAATAGACCCCCTCAAGCCAATCAAGTCTCGCTCCAGCCATTGCGTGCGTATACAT